TATTCGTAAAATAGTATACCCCAGGTCAGGCATTTGATTTAGTAGCCCCTTTAAAAGCAAGGCCTTGATTTTATCCCCGGCACTAATTGTGTTACCATTTAATTTTCACGAACAGAACCTAAGCAGCGTTCTAGGTGGACCTTGCTACTGCGTGTCAAACTTATTTGTAATGAAAAGAACTATTTAATTATTTTATTAATTTCAATATCTTGGGAGCCTCGAGCTACCCCCCTTACCGTATACATATATATCTATATCTAACTATATACAACTTACAACAATAATCTAATAAACGACCAGTTCTCAACCCCTAATTTGTAGTGCTTTGTTTTTGTTTCTTTTCAGGTGTCTTTTGTTCCCACACAGGTTCCACGTTTCCTGTAAGGGACGTGCTTTCAAACGTAGTGGCGCAATTAATTAAGTCAATCCGAACCTACGCAATATCCCTGAGATCCCATCGCTTTCCCCTGTGCTGCGCTTGTACACTCCCTGAGCTAGACCGGAGCAATTCCGGCTTTTCTTTAGGCGCAAAAGAAGTCGTTACAATATCTTTCATTTTTATCACACACTGGTAATAATTTGTTATCAAATTTAACATCATTAACAAGCTTTAACCTTTAGCAACCATCGGTCGTTAACAGAAGTTCATTTTTTTTACCTCGAAACAAAGTTATTGAGGAAATCGCAAGGCAACTTTTGCACTTTTTGTAAACGCCACCTTAACGGCTGAGGCTTCTGGTAATGACTGATTGGTCAGAGGGGACAAAGTTTATTGGGTGAACGAGTAAAAATTGCCGCTGTGAGCAATTGGCACCCTTTTGTAGATATATTTTGTAAAAATTAAGAAAATATGGATGAAGCACATGAGAGACATTTTTCAGGCATTCGTTTTTGCTAATGTGCGGGTGATAAAAACGAAAACGGTCCGGTCTTGCCGATTTTTGACGTTTTTCAATACTTCGTTTATTAAAAAAAATGCATAATTTGTGTATGTAATGATGCACACAGGGACGGCGGGTTTAAATTTATTGCAATTTTCGTGAAGAATAGGCATCAGAAATTTATAGGATCTTATATTATATTTTTAAGTAATGGTACACCAAAAAAAGGCTACGAAGATGGTCAGATTAGAGAAAAGTTGCGCAATTAAAAAGTTATTGTCTTGCTGTAAAGAAAACCAGAAAATTTCAAATACTTCCGAAGATTTCTTAGAAAAACCCAAATTTACCGATTTTGTTTTTATTTTTTTACTGATTTTATTTGGACAGATACACAAAAAAAACCACTTTGTCATTGGTACTGCAAGACAGGGTTGAGAGATACTCAATACAATGTTTAGTTTTGGAGAAACCATCAACTTTTTTTTATATGGCCCGTTAAAAAGTACGTACTGTATTGATTAGCATTTTTTATTACGTATACAGCGATGTACGGCACAAAAAAAACAGTTGGAAGTTATTGGTTTCAACAGGATGATGCATCCGCGCACAACGGCCTACTCGTGCGAGAATACCTATTTTCGCACGATTAGGACATCCTAAGACCTTGGATACAGTGTATAATCCCGACCTGAATTAGTTATTGCCAAAAGAGGAATTTAAAAATCTCCGCTTTCTGTAGTTATAGTGGTAACAGTAGACATGCACAAAGTATAATTTCATGCTTTTCTGTTGTTTTTTTAGAATTTCCAGAACTTTTTTTTATTATTTTCACGTTGGAAATCTTTCGAATTATTTTCTCTCATGCTATATATTTATATTATTTTTTTGGATTCCCTAAATCATAGTAATTATTTTCAGGATTTTATTTTGTAATTTAATTTATTTTGATTTTATTTATTTTTTTATTTTATTTTGCCTTTATTTTTGAGTGGGTGGGGTTTCAGCCAAGGCTGCTTTACCAACCCAACCCACTATACATTTGCAAATACCCATGCCCGAACCCGAACCCACAGTTCAGCTTTCACTGAACTGCGCCACACGGGCCGGCTTTTATGCTTTATACTAGGATGCCGAGATTTTAAGCTCGGACGGGCAGATGGAATATACGCCAGGATGAGCAGTGTTTTTCTTGAAAAGAAATTGTATGATACCACAGAAACATTTTTTCATAGTCAACAATGTCCAAAATGTTTGGTCCTCGTTAAGTCCCAAAATTACGGTGTTTTCTGTAATTTTGCCGCATTTTTTTAAATATTAACTCCTGCAGTTGCGAACCACTTTTAGGGGAATGGTCCTAGAATCTAGAGTCATGCAACTATGTCCTTAGATCCTGTTTCTGAATGTAAAAAGTAAATTTTTGACCTTTTACACGCCACATCAATTTCGTCTCAAATTTTACATACGCATGCCAAGTAAAATTTTTTTTAATCGAGGAGGTAATGGAATTGGCTTCTATGAACTATAACTTTCCTCCGCGACTTCCTGTCAAGAGTTGGTCGTTGGGGGAGGGGGGTGGCACAAATTGGTTTTGCTTATCATGGTATTCTCATTAAAGGTCTCAACAAAAGGAACTGTTTTCTACCAACTGCCGCATGTGGGAGACATGATCGAAATCGAGTAATTGGGTGGTAAGGGGGGAGGAACTGGTTTTATCTTTCCTAGTACTTCAATGAACGATCTCAACCAATGGAACTAATATTTACCAACCACAGTCTTCCCCCTCGACCCTTTCTCGTAATCGGTTATGATTCCTCATATCTCAAGAGGGAAGTGGCGGAATGGGGTACTCGCAAAGGGTGATTGGACCGTCTGGAAGAAATGTCTCGATTGGTGATGCCAAGGTGCGAATATCTCGAAAACGCGGTGTGTCGGAGGAGGGAAAATTAAATATTTCAGAGAATTTCTCTAAGGGCTTAATTCTTCTTGCAGTATATAACGTAGATTTTGAATGTGTGGCAGGCGGCCTTTCTATGACCTAGAGCCCCATTAATCATCTACCAAGAAGATAAACATCAATAAATTTTCCATGCTACTACCTTCTAACTCAATTATTTACTAAACTATTTCGGTTTACATAATGCGCACATTTTATACTTGTTTTCTCTCCGGCCCTAAGGTTTGTAGATTTTATTTAAAAAATAGGTGCCAATGATGGGGACAGATAACTTGGAAATCAACTTTGACGTATTGTATGTCGCCACCCCATAACTTGAAGTGACAAACTGGTCATCATATTAAAAGGTGATAGGTGAATTTATGTATTTAAAATAACTAATTTGAGATGGGAGACTTGTTCCACATTTTGACCGTAATCTGTAAACATAACGCAACTTTTTCTATAATTAGTGGAGGGCGAGGTATTTTCGATAGGACATGGCTGTTATCAAGATAATTAATCTCATATGAATTATATTCCAATATCGCTTTAAGTATCACTGCGTTGTATATGTTTATTACTCACTGGCGAGACTTTAAGTAGGTACTTACAAGATTGCTGCAGGATAGAACGAAATTAATTTCTAGGTAAAGGTAAACTATATGTGTTTTTTTTCTTGACAAATGTTTATTTTCCCTCGAGGGAACAGCAACAAAAATTTGACATTTGTTGTCTCAGTACCTTGCTTAACATGAAAATCACTTTTCGATGTATGCTGAAAATTACGTAAGTTTTGATACGAATTCCTTATTATTTAGTTAATTTTTTATATTCTGTTTGTGTTCGACACTTATTTATTTCTGTACCTAATATATAAATCGATCTGTTGCTATTTTCCACAGTTGAGGGTAAATAAGTTATACCTACTAAATGGGAAATGATTAATTGGCATTATTATCAAAAATATTTGCAAAACGAGCAATTCCGTTTATAAAACAGAACTTGGGTAAAGCGGTAGGTATAGCTGGGGCATATTAATATTACATTTTGATAAAGAAATAGCGACTCTTTCGTAGATTTTGATATATAGTTACATAGTTACAATATTATTGTTTCCAGCAAACATCACTTTGTTACCAGGTTAATTTCTACCAATCCGGTGTAGGTATTTGGTTAAAACATGGCGAAGCTTCCAACTATTCTCCTTGCTTCAATTGGCCATTATTATTGGCAACTGACATGTTCACTAGATTTTCACATATGGCGCATTACATAAAAATATATTATGGACTTTATTTTGATCCAAATAAAGCACTTAAGAGAACTTAAAACGATTGTAATCTCTCATAGAATTTTCAATTATTGCGTGCTGCTGATTAATTTATGTTTTTAATTACAGATGAAAAATTAAACAGGTCATCAGTTATTATATTAAGTTACCCGTCCTATTGTCGATATCGTGGAATAATGAAGCGTTTGGAAGGTGTAGAAGACGACTATCTAAAGCACACAGTAGTGAAAGTACTAGGCGGATTTACGGCGGTTAATAAAAATACGAGAGTCCTATTCTGCAGAGATACCTTCGATTATCCGGAACTAGAAGGTCACGAATTATTGTGCAATCATTTGGCACCTAAACTGAAAGGACGCCCTAGGGGCCGTCGGAAAAAACGAAGTTTATCTCCCGGTTCCGAAAGCAACGAATCAGAATCTTCCGTTTGTAATATTCTCAACTCTAGAGTAAGTTACATTCTGATTTGCGTAACGAAAATTTCATTTCTGGTTATAGACAAGGCTTATGGCAGAGAAAGCTTCAAATGGTTTAAGGCCAGATAAAATTTCCACCAGACAAAGTACCAGAGTGACCTCTTCGAATTTGGAGAGTAAAGAATTTTTGAAAACACTGTCTGCTTATATGAAATCAATTCACACTCCCATTGGAAGGATACCATCACTAGGTTTTAAAGAACGTAAGTGTAAGCAAGTTGGAGTTGTAGTGTAACATGGTTTTCATTTGTAGTTGATCTTTACGCGTTTTTCACAAAAGTTAACAAACTAGGTGGATATGATTCAGTAACCAGGAATCGATTGTGGAAGTCAATTTTTGACGACCTCAGTGGAAATTATATGAGCACCAGTGCAGCTACAGTAATCAGAAGACATTATGAAAGGTTGTTAGAAGTAAACAAAGTTTATATCATTAACGCAGTATATCTATAGATTCTTATTGCCGTATGAACTACATCTCAAAGGAGAAGAATACAAGTCGTCTTCCAAAAATTCTAAAAGTCGATCAGGTAGTTGCAGTGATAGCAGTGACAGCCCAAGTGGTAGCGGAAAAAGCACTCCAATATCTCAGCTCACGGTTATTCCTATACCTACGAGTACAACTGATAACAAGGTGAGCTACTTTGTGGAACTGATTGTTTGTTTTCATATCTGCATTTTTTATCTTTTACTGATTGTGGTAGCTAAACACTTTTATCTTTCCACTTTTTTTATTATTAAGATTGTCTTAATTGTAACCTGCTATCAATTAAATTATTATTTTTTTTAGGAAATCTCTCAGTCGGAAACACTCGATCTACCAAAACCAGAAGTTAAAACCTCTTCTCTTAGAAGTGTGAGAGTAAAACCGGAGCGATTAAGAGATCATGTCTCGAAGGATAATAAGGCAGCTGCAAGCGAAAAATGTGCCAATACTGATATTACAAATTCCAAAATGGTTAATGAACTAAGTGTCGAAATTAAAACTGAAGTTGAAAGTTCTTCTACAAAAATTAGTGAAAGTAATTTATTAAATAACGGTTTGACTGTAGAATTAATAACAACAGCGTTACCTACTATACCACAAAAAAGTTCCCAAAACGAAGTGAGTGAAATAGTGAGTGATAAAATTAGTAAAACTAGTGTTACAATAGAATCTTCAACCAAAACTGAACAGACTCCAATTTCTTTAGATAGTGTTCCTAAGTCGGACAGTGATAAGTCTGATGACGGAAAAGAAAATATAGCCACGTGCAATACAAACTCTGTTTCTAATGCTCAAAATAGATCGACACCAAGTGATCTCTCTGAGGTGCCATGCGAATCAAAAACTCCAGAATCAGTACCGGTAGACACAGACTATAGTTTTAGTTCTACTAGTTCCATAAGCAAATCATTATTACATAGTGTAAAGAAAAGGAAACTAGACATTTTAAAGGAAGGTGGACTGGAAGTTACGCCTATTAAACCATCAACGAACGAATTAAAAGAGATAAAAGAAACGAGGCCTTCGGTAATACATCATAATCTCGGTATGCCAAAAGCAACAGTAGGACAGCTTTCTATAACTTTAGCGACAGACAAACCGGCTTCCTCAAACAGCATGGAAATCTCAGAAAGGTTGTTGCCAACATCACAAGCTAAAGACATTCAAACTTTGCCATCTACAAGCATCATGCGATCAAATCCAATACCAATAAGCAAGTCAATATCTTCCTCACCAAATAATTCATTTTTATACCTCAATGGACAGTCGCCTCCAAAAGTTGTTCAATCTAGATCAATTTATTCTTACTCTGAAAAAACCGTTTATGGAAATCCTAAGGATTACTTTATGCCACCTCCGAGACCTCCAGTGCAAATTCCAAAACCGGTTGGTGGGTTATCTAGGCATTTGGGTGGAGATATTTTAGATTTGACTACCAAAAGTCCCCAAAAAGCCGTCGTGGAAATTATGAGGGTGCCTAATATACCCTCCTCTCGGACTCCATTTGGGATGCCGGACGTACCTCAAAAAAAGATCTTCAAGAACTCTGCTTCTCTTCCAGTATTAGATACACGTGTTGCGTCAAATTTGGAAATCACACTGGTAGGCTCAAATACAATTCCAAATGTTCAACAAAACAGATCGATGAATAGAAGCAACTCGTTCAGCCGTCCACGATCAAATACAGTTATTCCTTCACCCGCTTCAGCTTCCAATGTGCCAAAATCATATGGCACGTATAATTTCAACAATAAAACTGCACAAAAACGGACATTTAATGGAAATTATGTTCTAAATAATAAAAAAGAGGAAAATGGAAAATTGCCATATTCGATTTCTCCGACGCAACAAGCGTATGCACCTAGGGACCACAGGCAGCAGAATAATGTGTCGAATTCCTATAGTAACCATCGATTTCCAACACAACAAGATAATAGAAATCAGGCAAAAGTGCATTCTCAGTCTTCCCCAAATATAAAACCGTACACAACTCCAACACCTTCTTCCGTTTTACCTCCGTATTTGTCCCAATTGTCTTTGGCATCTAAAATGGTACCACCATACGTTCCTCCAATTGATCCCTTGTATTTTTCCGCTCTTCAAAGTTTATACCCGCATTCTCCACTCTCTTCAGTTCCTCCTTTCTTTCCTGTTCCGAACCCTGATCATTTGCAATTTTACACAGATTTGATAGCTCGAAATTCGCAAATGAGGTATCCGTTCCCATTTGCGCACGATGGTAGTTCATCAATGCCGCCCGCATCTAGCGAGACTAACAATTTTAAGCAACAATAAACATATCGCCTCGAAAACTGACGCATATTAAAAATTTTTTATGTAGACTTTTACTCGACTAATCTTCCATCGGAAGACATGTGAAGATGAAATGACATTGACTATAAAGTAGATAGTCTCAAAGAATCAATTTATTATTGTTGCAGATGTGATAAAATCCTTTATTAGATTAGTTGCGCTACTAAATATGTAATGAGTAAGAGAGAGAGGTAGGTATTGTTGATGGACAATAGGATTTTTATATTGATTAAACTTTGTGCGTAAAGTTGTTGTTGAATTGATGTATAGGTACTTCAAATTTTGTAATATAAGAGTAACTTTTATTTTTTGGAAGATACATTTATTAAAATGTTGCTTTTAAATAAATGTTTTTGAAAAAGGGCAAGATTTAAAAAGTGTAGCAAATAATGTTGTATATACGAAGGCCAGATGTAATGATTAGTATAATTATCTGTGATTTTATTATATATACCAAATTATATCGTTGATGTACATATAACTTTCCAACATTTTCTTAATTATTTAAGTTTCAAGTTTTTTTTAAGTAATATACATCTTTTACTTTTGTAATGTGTTGCTGTCCGTTGATAATGTAAATCACAGGCAATAAAATGAAGTGCAATGAGTTTACTTTTTGTAAATGGTAGTTGGATAACAAAGCGGTCGCATATTATCACCAGGGAATCGTCGATAACGGTCCTTGCATGATAAGGAAGGGTTCAAATGCAGTTATTAATTGCATTTTGCAAAAATGAGTCTACTAACTGACCTGATATGCGATTCTACGAAACAAAATTACATTATGGTGCTGCCATTGAATAAGCACCTTTATTCAATGCTGCTGCTTAAAACTATTTTGTGCAGGTGGGTATTTTCCTAGTTGAATTTGAATTTCTATAACAAAAGACCAAATTTTAAGGTTTTAACACAACTACTGATCAGGGGACCCCACACTATATTGTATTCAGTGGTACAAGGCATAGGGAAGGAAGCTTCGACCTTCAGTGTGTTTAAAGCCCGCTTGACATGGAGCAATAAAAATTGCAATTGCATGCAAGTTGCAAGAAAAATTGCGAAAGGCATGCGCAGTTCAAAGCCAGCTGATCAATTGCTGCAAGAGACTTGCGTGCAATTTTTATAGGACCGGTGTTATTTTTCTTGCATGAATCGCGCAATTCTAGGGATAAATCTAGTTGTTTTTGTGTCACCAACCTAGTAAAATACAGCGGCGGCAACTATGATGCTGAGAGACGCACTCATTACTTGTTTTTATTAATCTTATTTATTCTTGTAATTTTCATGTTTCTTCAAGCAATCAAAATTCAATTTTTATTTGAGGTTAGCAGCTTTGTTGACAAGTCCATATTTTCTTCTGTTGGCAGACGTGTGGCAATTGAAATAGAATTGCACCATGTCTCAAATACCATGCAATGCTTATTGCATGCAAGGATTTGACCTTGCAATTTCTTTCTGCAAGTTCTTGCGCGTTGTATTGCTCCATGTCAAGCGGCCTTAGAGGTCAATGGTAAGTGGATAAATAAATCGAGTGGCGAATTTTGCAAGTTGGTAGTTTCTTTTGCCAACTAAACTGTTGGAAATGTCATTGGTTGATCTTCTGTTTGCAGTGCTGGATATTTCTACTTTTAAATAATTTGGTGCCGTTTTATATTTTTCCTGTGTGCAAACGCAGCGCCATTTACTACCTTCTTATAATGAATGCAGTACAGTTGGCAAATCTGACCAAGAGTTGGTAAATTTTCGTCATTTTGCGATAACGATATCAGTGGTGTAACAATTCGTAACGGGACCGTGGTCTAAAATCCAGTCGGGCTCTAATGAATACCTATGAAAAAAAGGACACTAGCATTTCTGAAAATTAATAGAAATATGTATAACATGTTTTATCTGTGATTTTATCTAAAAAGTTGCAAATGAAAAAAAAAACGGTATAGTTAGATAGGTTTATTATTCGTTACTAATCGAGTTACTAATTAATAGGGCTAGGATTTTAATGACGTTAAAAATCAACGAAAATGCAAAATAAAAAATGCAATTATGACGTCAAAATCTAGCAAAAATGACGTAAAAATGTAAAAAGATGACATAAATTTTATATCCATAGTAGACCATTTTACTGTTACTTTTAAAATACAGAATCAGGAATCAGCATCTGCTAAATTCTGTAACCTAAAAAAATAAATAAAAGTAATTGAGAATGACCCATTCCTCATAAATGGCAAAAATGCAAAAAAACATGCACCAACAAGTTGATGTCATTTGATTCAATTTATCCTGAAACGCGTTTATGTACACTACCTATAACAGAGCAATGTCTCAAGAGTTTCAGAAAAAAATATGCGAAGTCCTAGCCCTACTAATTAACAAAACGCAATCAATGTAAAACCTTTAAACATTAGATAAATAATAAAGAATACATTATACCACAGACATAGTATAATATGTTGTCTGGTTGATATACATTGAATTTTAACTATCAGAAGCGCGGATCCCATATAACAGTTTGTGACCATGTGCCAACTGGCCGCCGCTAGGGGCAGTTCGATCGTTTGAAAGTCCGTGGGCGATCGAAAGTGGAGCGTTACATTGACATTAGATGGCAGCATTACAAACCATTTATTTTGACCATTCGAATATTTTCCTTTTTAATCGTTAGATGTCAGGAACTCGGGATGTTTTTTGTGTTATCATTGGAATGGTTTTATAAATAGGATTGGAATGTTCTAAAAATAGATCCCTTAAGAGGAATCAGGACTCCGCATATTAAATGCCTAAACATCTCTACGTTGTCCCTATAAATTTAAAGTATGACAAAGGTATTTTACTGATGTGATGAGTGATATCGATTCAGAAAGAATGCCGCCGTGCTTCTCTAATGCCACTTTTTTTAAAAACAATCGAAAAAAACAAAATATATGGCGTTAAAGTTGCGACATTTTAGTGATTTTTAAAAATCAATTTCTTCTTAAAAAAGCAAAAAATGAAAATTTTACTATTAGAGAGGCATACATTAGCTCTTTATTTATTAGTATATACAAAAAGATCATTAAAAAGACAGTCCGTTTTTGTAATTTTATGGGGAGAACGGAGGCACTGTTTTGCAAATATTTAAGTCTGTATCTTAGCGTCACATTACGGCAAATTACCGAACTTTTATATAGACAGAGAAACTTGTGAGACAAATGCATTTATGGGAGGTGCTAAAAATGCAAGGAAATTTTGTTATCTTTTAACTGTGATTATGTGTCGGAAACCTTTCGCTCGCTTCATTTGCGTCCAAGGCAATTATTACATGGGACACAAATGTGAGACAATTCCGTGCAAAGATAAAATTGTTGTACCTCAAAACAAAGTAGCATTGAAATTATTCGAAATTGATTGTTGGTTAGCACAATTTTGAACCCTCAAATTAACAAGTTTTTATTAAAAGTAAACAGTATATTTTTGTTCTTCAGAATTAATGTGCGTAATTTGCACATAGGTATAGGTATGTAATTAAGGTTGGTCTTTCCGTCAGAATGTTTGCAATTTTTTTGCTACATTTCGTACAACATTCAAATTTATTTATAGTATGTCTCAGACCTAGGAGTAATAAACCACCCGGCCTACGAAAGAGTATAATTATTTTTACATAGAAGTAGCGCCGTAGCGGATAACAAATATTTTCCACCAAACAATTGAAAATTCACAACACAATGCTTCGAACACTGATAGTTGCACTTTAGCTCGAGGTAAAAATACCATTTTGTAGAGAAATTAATTGTCTTTAAATTTGATGTGGGAATTTATGTCATACAATCCCTTTTTTTATGTTAAAAATTGTGGAAACTTTCCAACCCCGATTACACCAAATCGTCAGGGTCGACCTAGTCTAACCGTGAAAAAATTAGTGACAAGCTGAAATTTGGTAAATAAGTTGATTTTGGAGTCGTTAAAATACCACCAAACCCCATAAGTGATCCGCCGTGTCTGTCACCTCCAAACTACCTTTGAAAGGGATTTTTTTAAGTTTTTTGTCAATATCTTGAAAACAACGCCATTTGCAAAAGAATGTGAAGATAGACAAATGAAAGCGTAAGTTTGGTGCTGTACCAGTGGCGAAGTTATAATGTTAATTTTATTTTAAAAAATTAATTTAATTTTTAATTTTTTTTTGTGAAATCTAGAGAAATTTCTCAAAAATATTTAGGTAAGAACATTCATTTCGTGCCTATTCTAATGAAATAAAAAATCATAACAGTGGCAGTACTAATTTTTTTATGTCATCCCTTTTTTAATGCATTAAAACGATAATATATTGTAATATATTGTAGCATTGAATAAAACACTATAGAAGCCTAACCCCGTGGAAATAAAGCGCGACAGAGAATGAACTGAGAATTATAATGAAACACTGTCAATAGTGGGTACGGTCGGAAATTTACTTCAAAAAGTATCAGTAATTAAAGTAATGCAATCGCAGTAAAGCGGTTATTTATTAAATTTTACTCAAAATACTGAAGATGCTGTAATAATTTTCGACCGCTTGTTTTGCAATTATATGCTTTTGACAACTGATACCTACTTAACCTCAATTATTCTCTATTGTGTATATTGCCTTATTGCCACAATGGATTCTGAAAGTATAGTTCCTTTAATTGTTAATAATATTTTGAGTATTTTGGACGATTCAAGTTCTGATGATGATGAATTTCTAGTATTAACACATTTGATGAATGTGAGTGATTCCACTCGTTTAACGAGAATTGAACATTATGTGGAAAATGTGGTTCATTTATATTCAGATGATCAATTCCAATCACATTTTAGGTAGGTATGGAGTTATATAGTTAGTTCAAACTGTGTGTTACAAGGGTTCTGGGGTTTCAAATCCCAAGTAAGCCTCTGGTACAGCACGGCTGTCTGTGTTTGTATAGTGGGTCGTTGTTAGCCTACTATACAATAAGAATAAGGTCAATTAAAGTATTAAGTCACTAATTGTAATATTTGTAGAATGCAACGAAAAACATTTGACTTTATTTTGTCTTTAATTGGACCAAAAATTAGTGAAAACGTGGTAAAACCTGGACGACCAAGTGTATCCCCAGAAACACAATTGCTGCTTACGTTGTGGATTCTTGGAACACCTGATTCCTATAGGTGGGTCTACAGTTTCTACTTTTATCTACCTATTTTCAATGACCTTTTAATAGATCTGTATCGGATCGTTTTAATGTCGGAAAAGCAACTGCCGTTATCTCCGTAAGAAGAGTAGTAAAAGCGTTGTATGATCATGTACATACATTTATAAAATGGCCAATAGCAGATGAAATGGAAACAAGTATAAGAGTATTTCGAGCTGTAAAAGGCTTTCCAAATGTTATAGGTGCAATTGATGGCACCCATATTAGCATAACTGCTCCTAAGAATAATGCAGAAGCTTATGTGAATCGAAAAGGGTATCATTCAATGCAATTACAGGTAGGTAGTTATTTTCTGCAGGTACATGCTTGTGTAGTTAGCTGTTAGCTTACTACTTTTATTGTAGGCCGTCTGTAACGAAAATGGAATGTTTATTCATTGTTTCACTGGATATCCGGGAGCTGTCCATGATCTGCGAGTATTCCAA